ATATCTTCACTTTCCTGATATTTGTCTGTAAATAGTATTTTTCTTCAGACAATACAAAGAGAAATGTGAAAGGGTTAGAGTAAAAAGAGATAGAGCAGTTTTCATTGAGTTGACCATCAAGTCAGCAAATTAGTAACTATTTTTACCTAACAACAATGTACTAAATCAACAGTTAATTCAATGACACCTGGTGGTTTGTTTGATAGAACCAGAACACTAGTATTTTGAACAATGTTTATTTTAAATTTAAACATTAACACTTTGCAGTATGGAACAAAGTGTCAACTTGACAACCTATTACCTGTTTATCACAAGGAACCATGTATCAAGCTGATCACTATGCTCTGATAATTGTGTGTTTTGTCCAATTAGGTTACATAAGATAATATATTGAGTCAATCATTGACTGGATAAAACTGTTTTTACTCAAATACTAGACTTAGGGTCAGGAACTTAGTCACATACACATAGTGGTGCACTAGTAGAAGTCACTTGGCATGTAAAATATAAGTTTTATTTAGTTTTGCTATATAATATTCAATAATAATAATTATTAATCATTATTCTAATGCTTTAATATGAAATACTCCAAAATCAGTTTAATGAAGTCATTCTGATAAAGGACATTAAAATTAATTGATTTTAATTTTAATGTCCTTTATCAGAATGACTTCATTAAACTGATTTTGGAGTATTTCATATTAAAGCATTAGAATAATGATTAATAATTATTATTATTGAATATTATATAGCAAAACTAAATAAAACTTATATTTTACATGCCAAGTGACTTCTACTAGTGCACCACTATGTGTATGTGACTAAGTTCCTGACCCTAAGTCTAGTATTTGAGTAAAAACAGTTTTATCCAGTCAATGATTGACTCAATATATTATCTTATGTAACCTAATTGGACAAAACACACAATTATCAGAGCATAGTGATCAGCTTGATACATGGTTCCTTGTGATAAACAGGTAATAGGTTGTCAAGTTGACACTTTGTTCCATACTGCAANCAAAGTATTTAATAAAAATAATAACGTTTTCAACTATTTTTAATAGTCTTCTTCAGTTAAGCCACTTTAAAACAAAAACAAACGTAAAATAGAACACAAGCAATACAACGGTTTAAAAATTTGAAATTAATTACAACAAAATAAAAATAAAATAAAATGTAAAAACAAAATTAAATTACAATAAAATATTAAGAAAATTAATCGTTGTCGTAAATAATTAAATTAAATAAAGTATTAAGAAAATTAATCGTCGTGGTAAAAAGATTTCCATGCAAAGGATAGACTTTCTGCATCTCTATGGTTGATGCATCCTTTGTCAATATGGGCCTTGTAAATTTCAAGTTTTTCAGTATGTTTAAGTACTTGTTTGTTGGTGGCAGTCCTAATTATGTATGCTTTGTCCCAGTGTACATTAATATCTTGATGTTTAGCAAAGGCTGCAAGAACAGTTCTGTCCAAGTTTTTATTAATAGTAATGGAATACTTATGCTCTTTAAGCCTCTGTTTTAAAAGTCTCATAGTAGCACCATCGTAAATGAGTTCTGAATTAAAACGGCGGTCACTTAAAGGAATAGAATACACTCCTGAACTATTGTTATGGTTTACTTTCTTCTTATCATTTCATAGAATTCTATAAATCGTAGGATTATGATGATAAATAATTCTTAAATTATTCTTGTGAGATAATTTTTTAATCATTGATTGTAGGAAACTTACATAGTTGAGAACTACTCTTCGTCTTTGGTTCTTAGTTGTAGGTTGCTTATTTGTTTGATTACAATATTTAGCAATAAGAGCATTAATTTCACTTATACGATATCTCTGTTGTACAGCTATTGTTCATATGTAATTTAATTCTCTGTGTGTGTCAAACATACTCGTACAGTGTGTATAGGCCCACTTTATCCATGATCGAAAGGCTGCATTCTTAAAATTCCCAGGATCAAAGGAATTCTTCGGTATAATGATAGCTAGGCTTTTGATAAATATCTGTCCAAATTTCACCATATTTACAAGTGATGGACAGATCCAGAAAATTTACATTAAAGTCACTTTTTTGTTCCATTGATAAAGTCAAACCATATCGGTTGTTATTAATTTTGTTAAGGAAACAACTTGCATATACAAGTATGTCGTTTATAAATATGGGCAGTACATTACTTTCTAATCGTCGTAATACTAGTTCACATAATAATGGGGATATCAGGCTCCCCATTGGAACCCCTCTTTTTTGTAAATATGTGTTCCCTTTAAATACAAAAAAACAAAGTATAACAAATTAGGTGTACAAGCTCTAAAATGTGTTGGTGATACTTCGTTGCATTATTAACCAGTTGTTTCTCAAGTGCAAAAGTAGGGGATCTGCATTTTTCTATAACAGGACGTATTAGGCAGTCAGGCTTATGAGTTTTGCCAAAGGCTAAGATTCCTGGTGCTCTTTGTGCTTGTACTACAGAGTTATGCATACGTAAATAGCGGGCTAAAGGGGTTGAAGAGAATTTTTTAAATCTTTGTTGTAGTGATTCTAAATATTTATCAGGAGCAGGTTGGCACTCAGTGTCTCTGATGTATTCCTTCAGTTTTTGGTTGTAGGAATCTCTTTTTATAAGAACTACGCCTTTGGATTTATCAGCTTTGATCAGCACTACATCATTTTTATGTAGCCATTCTCTTGCATTTTTAATGCAATTGTGGAAATGTCTGCTCTTTATATTGTCACTTCTTTCTTTAGCGGTGCTGAGTCTTGTTTTCCATCTTACGTATTCTGACTGGTAAGGTTCAATTCCTTAATAATCGTTTCAATATTTGGAACAATAAATTCCGGGGTTGGTGGAGAAGCAGGAGCAAACAGTGGACCATATTTTAATGCTTCCAGGAGACACTTAGGAGGTGTGTTGTTATCCCATGCTGTTATAAAATTGTTATTATTAAAGCGAGGTTTGACATTCTGGTAACATAATAACCATTTGAGCTTTTTGACATATTTACGTTTTATGAATTTTTCATATGAGCAGGCTAAGTTGACTACTTTTTGGTTGACATCCATAAGAAGAACTGGGTCCTGCTTATACAAATCATCTTCTAAATGAATTAGTTTATGTAATAAGGCATAAACATTTCACCTGGAAGATCTGATAGCTTTATTAAGGCACAGGTACTTTAGTCTTTGTAATAAAGAAGTACAATTCATTGGTAGTTGTATCCTGTGAATGGAGTTTGGGAAAACATCATTAAGTCAGTATTGCGACAAGAATTCAAATTTTCCTTTTGCGCTGTATAGCTTGATAACTATTCTTCTGTATTCTTTGGCCGGTGAGCCATTAGTGTAATAAAATAAAATAACTTACTGGAATATAAAATAGAATATAAATAACTTACTGGAATATACTTAAACATATTGAAAAACTTGAAATTTACTAGGCCTATATTGACAAAGGATGCATCAACCATAGAGATGCAGAAAGTCTATCCTTTGCATGGAAATCTTTTTACCACGACGATTAATTTTCTTAATACTTTATTTAATTTAATTCTTTACGACAACGATTAATTTTCTTAATATTTTATTGTAATTTAATTTTTGTTTTTACGTTTGATTTTATTTTTATTTTGTTGTAATTAATTTCAAATTTTTAAATTGTTGTATTGCTTGTGTTCTATTTTACGTTTGTTTTTATTTTAAAGTGGCTTAACTGAAGAAGACTATTAAAAATAGTCAAAAACATTATTTTTATTAAATACTTTGTTGCTGGAAATACTAAGGTGTTTGATTATTTTAAGTATTTATATTCTAGTAAGATATTTTATTTTATCACTTATACACAAATTACAGACACAAAAAGGTTCACTATCCCTGTACTAGATTATCTGGTGAATGGTGCAACACAATCCATTACATACAAATTTTGTTATTCACATATTGTTATGTAAGGCAAGAACATTTTGTATTTTTTGATTTTTTCTTAAACTAGCTTTATCAAATATGAATTTTTTTATTTTTACCTTATATTCTAGTATTCATTTCTTCATAATATAATCAAAATAATTCTTTTGATATATCAGTAGCTAGATGGCATCTCTCATTCATGTTTAAAGTTTAAGACAGCCATTTTAGTAGTCTTAAACTTTTTGTATATCACAGTTGATAACGAACTTTGTTTTAATTTATCATGTGAATCTATATTATTGTTCAGTCAAAGCCTATAAAAGTCATTTCCATTTTTATTGATCCAACAGCTCTAATAAAATCCTTTCTTTGAACTTTTTGAATTAGTTATGTTTCACAGAACAAATTATAAAGAATCTTTAAAAAAATTACCTTATGAAATATTGCATTCACATTTCTCATCTTATACAGATTTACAATAATTCCTGATAATACTTCCAAGCATATTAATTTATCTTAATGATAAAATTATTAAGATGAAACAGATTGGATCAGTAAATGAAGCATAGTTCATCTTCCAAATTTTTTAAGTATACCACATAGTTTACATAGTTTCTAATTATGGTTATATTGAAAACGTTACACAAATATCTAGTTCTTATTTATATTTGTTATTTTATTTCCTTATATATTTGGATTTTGATACAACTTTGTTATCAGATTTTTCTTAATCAAGCATTACACATGTGAAATTTGGTGTAACATAGAATAACTTGACGTTGTTAAGAGTCAAATATATATTAGATTTGATATGTTTTTGCTATTTTTAGTTGAAATGAGGAAAAAATGTGAAAGACAAAAATTTATTGATTGACTTTTATATAAAAATGTTGCTTTATTATGTGAAATTCGTTTTTTGTAATTTAAATATATTTATATGTATTTTAAAGTGAAATGATAAATGAAAATAGACATAAATAGAATAAATTTTAGTATTAATTTATATTGTAATTTGGATTATAATAATTAAATAACTAAAATTAGCAACATATATAAATGTTTTATAATTAATATATTTCATTATAAATTTAACAGATGTTGATGGAGCTGGGGCATCAACATCTGAACCATTAGATATGGCTGTTAAAAACACTGGAGTATTATTAAAAAGATTGCGTTCTCTTATGAAGAATACAAATTATGTCAGTGAAATACTTCAAGCTTATATTATTCCTCATAAAGATTCTCATCAGGTAAGAATTTTTTTTGTTTTTATTTATTTAAATTTTATTTTTACTTAAAAAAATAAGAATAAAATGGAAAAAATTAACACTTTAATAATTAAATTAACTGCTAATAGAAATTTACTCAGAATTTCTATCTGTTTATTAATTACAAAGTTATGAACAATGAAATCTAACAATGCAAATTTTATTGGGTATAATCAAAATAAAGAAGTGAGAATCAGATGAAACTTCAAAATATAGATATTTTTAGGCAAAAAACAAATCATAGGGGATCGATTTTTGAAAGAAAGTAGAAATCTGGAGAACAGTAAAGCTGAGTCCAAGACATGTCAGGAAGACTCAATTAACTATATTCCTGGAAGTCACGTTATTTCAGTTCAAAAGTTTTCTCCCATATGGAGTTAGATAGATGACTGCATGACTGTAGTGTTGTTCTCCTGTACATTTATATTTTTCTGTTAACAATAAAATCAGAAGTCTACCTTTTAAGGAGTACTTGAGCGTATGCTCTAGTACTCCTTAAAAGGTAGACTTCTGATGCAACTTTGTACTCTAATTATAATGTTTCTTGATCAATTTGCAAACATTCTCATTTACTAGTTTACATCTTGTCATTTTTGTGCAATTTGTTGGTTTTAAATTTGTTTTCCTTAAATACTATGATTATACTGTCTTGCATCTCTACTTTACATATTTCTAATCAAAGTGGTAAATGACCAGTGGTTGAATCTTTCTGACATGTCTTGGACTCAGCTTTACTGTTCTCCAGATTTCTACTTTCTTTCAAAAATCGATCCCCTGTGATTTGTTTTTTGCCTAAAAATATCTATATTTTGAAGTTTCATCTGATTCTCACTTCTTTATTTTGATTATACCCAATAAAATTTGCATTGTTAGATTTCATTGTTCATAACTTTGTAATTAATAAACAGATAGAAATTCTGAGTAAATTTCTATTAGCAGTTAATTTAATTATTAAAGTGTTAATTTTTTTCCATTTTATTCTTATTTTTTTAAATAAAAATAAAATACAATAAATGAGACAGAGAAATCACTGAGATTGGTATCCCACTATACAGTATTTGGTGTGAATATCAACCCATTGATTATAAATACAATAAAGTTCTTTAGGGACAACAAAAAAATTTAGGTATTTTGCAGAGAAATAAATATTATTTTATCATTATAAAATAAAGCTAAAAACTTTTCTTGTAATTCTTATAAAACTATGTAATTCAAGATATTATTTAAAGGGATGAAAATATTTATTTAGAATAAAAATGAAAAATTTCTTAAATTTAAAAATTAAATAATCATTAATCTATTTATTTGTAAGAAGTTTCTTATTCTAAATTACAGAGTGAATATCTGGCACCATGTGACAGAAGAAGAGCCTTCATAACTGGTTTTAGTGGAAATTATGGTACATGATAAAAATTTCTTCTTATTGTTAAAACAACAATAAATTCCCTCATTCATGATACCAAACCCTGGTCAAAAGTATGGATATTGTTCACTTTGCAATATGTCATTCAATTCAGCTTAAAGTTTCAAAACATAGATGTTAAATAATTAATTCTTTTTAATGAAATTTATTTAGTGTCTTGTGCATGTAACAACAGAAAAGAGATGAAAGTAATTATATAAAAAATTTAAGAAACAGCATACACAACACTTGAGCAACACTAGACAAAATATGGAATATAGTAATTACAGACACATAAGTATGGAAGAAAATAAATTTATATTGTGTGGGACTGCCTTTGGCCTTTATTACTGCTTTAATACAACTTTGTGTTGAAGAGACTAACTTTTCACATAAAAGTCTGCAGCTATTTCTGCCCATCTGGTTTGAATAGCACACTTCAGTTTAACAATGAAGTCAGTTTCTATTTTCAAACCAGTTTCTTCAAAACATTCCACAAATTCTCTATTGTATTTAAATCCAGGTTGTTTGGTGGTCAATCTAAGCATGAAATGTTTTCGTTTAAGAACCATTGGCATACTGTTGCAGCTTAGTGGGAAGATGCACTGTCATCTTGATGGATAAAGTCACCAAAGTGTTCCTCTGCTGTTTTTAGCACAAAATTGTCTGAAATTTCCAAGTAAACTTCTGCATTCAATGTAGTGTTGACAGTTTCCAAATGTCCAGGTCTGCAGTCCAAACCACAACTCCATTTGAAAATTTTGTTTTTTCAAATAAATCTGTGCTAACTTCTTTCCATTCAGTATTTATTTCTCTTGATGACTTTAATCTCTCTTCTTTAACGATTTTGATCAGGTTTCTGTCTTCTTGTGCCAAAGTTATGCATGTGCATCCATATCTACATTGATTGTAGACAATTTTTTTGTGCTTTATATTTAGCTATAATTATAGACACTGCACTTATGTACATTGTGTGTTTTGCATTATCTGCTGCTTTTCACCATGCTTGTGTGACCTCTCTGGTCGGCACCTCCTTAGTGTCCTGTCAGGATTGATACCACCATGTTTAGCGGAACACAGAAGCCGAGACGGCGATTACTATGTCACACCATCGTGCAAGCAGTCCCATAAGTGGTCAGACGGATTTGTTATGTTGATCGAGAGACAGCATGTGGAAGAGACTCAACTACAGGTAACACTTAACAAGGATTTAATTAAAAATAAATGGGATAAGATAGAGATTCTAAAGTTTTGTCGCGAAGAGAGAGAGTTTACATAAGGTTTGCATGGTGATAAATACCTTTGGTAAATGTCCCAATCAGGGTCATGTCGAATTGGAGAACCAGGTAATAGTTCTTCTTATAGCCTTTTTCAGGATTCGTCCAAGAGTAAAATATCCAGTCAAAATGTCCCGTTGAAATATCCAGGCTCTATCGTGCACTAACACAAAAAAAAAAATGGTTGTTGATAAAGATTATCCTATGGAATGGGCGATGATTTCTTCCCTCTCGAGGACTAAAACAGCGACTGACTCTTTTCGGCCGTCTCTGGCCATATTCACAGACGATTTCGGCTGTGCAGAGGTTAATAGTTCACGAGAAAGTGTCATGTTGCCTTCAAGAAAATGTAACGGGAGACTTTCTCAGGTAGCTACGAACAATTGTTACGTCTCTCGAATCATGTTAGTATTAAAGACTAGTTCTAATATAGGAATTTCTGCTATCTCACACTTGCAATATGAAATTATCAATGCTTTCTTTGCATCACTCAGTTCTGGTGTTTTTGGATAGTTTTAGAATGCAAACATTAATCACGATAAATAAAATACTTTCTTACTGGAACTACAATATAAATAAAAACCAAAAACCTTTAAACAATTCAGCAAATCATTTTTTAATATCTTAAAAACGCTTTCGAACGCTTTAAGCAATTGATTAATCACGATTACAGTTCTGCAGATTCAATCTCAAAATGTAATGTACAATAACAGTGTAACTAAATTAATTTTGAAATGGAACATGCCCAGTCCCTGCTATGCTATTTCAGGTATTCTGTATTTCAGTATTCCATATTTTTGTCTCTACTCTTGATTAGTAAAATGAATCATACTTTTTTATATTACATAAACTGATTTCATTTTAGAGCATGTTTATGCATCTAAATATATTTTCTGAAAATTTGCACAAGCAATCAACAACCAAACATTAAATGTTTTTTAAAACTTGCCTTTGAAATGTTGTGATGCAGGAATTTATAACATTATTTTATACTTTTGATCAGAGGTTGTAATGTTTGTATTGATCCAAACTAAAAATTGTTAAGTATTCTAAGGCTGGATTTTATATTTATCATGGAAAAAATTTTTATTATATAAATTGTTTTTATTTGTTGTTTATTCTTATATTTATAGTTTTAAATATTTTAAAATGTTAAAGTAATAAGATTTAATTAAAAGTATTATTTTGTTCATGTCTAGTAATTGAATATTAATTAGATTAGTTTCCAAATGCTTAAATTTTTCTTAATTAATTAATCCTAAAAATATTGGAATTATATAATAGCTTTAATAATTCTTGTAAAAATATTTTAACAGCTAATATCGAAACATGATTTATTGATGTGAAATTGATTTATTGTGGATTCTGATGGCTTTAGTATCTCATTTGTGAGTTTGCATCTCTCCATTCTAGCAAATTTTTTATTCACATTAATCTTTTTTGAATGTAGATTTGTTAGAAGTCTGTTATTTTTTAGAGATTGAACTTCAGTAGGAATGCACAATGGACTTTTTAGTTTGAGTGAATTTAGTCATTTCTCTTCTCACTTACACAGTCTACACTTTGCCTTGTCAATTAACATTAGCTAAATAAAAATTCAATTGCTATGGATATAAAAATTTTAAATTTTACAATATAATTACTTGGTTCATAATAAACTAAAATTATCATTATCATTAGATGCAATGAATAAAAATTGTGGCATTTTTAGAAACAGAAAATAATGTTTGTTTATGGAATTTTTATCCAGAGAGATTAATATCACTACAAAGAACTTGATGATTGAATATAATAAATCAATCAATCAATCTTTATTATTTGATATAGCGAGTGTTATTACAAAGGGGATTAAAAAACATTGTTATTTTAAGTTTGATACATGAACAAAGAAATCATATAATTTATACATTAGCATGGCAAAACTGAATAAAATTTAGGAACAAAAATCAGATGGTAATGTAACAACTTGAACATCCAAAAGAATATTGCAAGAATCAAGGTGTTTTCTCATTCATTGCTGTTGTTTCACAAAAAGAATATTTGGAGTCACATAAGACATTAATTATTTTACCATTTAGTTTTACCAAAATCCTATTTAGTCTAAATTGTGCAGCAAATGACTTTATTTTTATAACTCAAATTAGACAATAAATAAGATGCTGGACTCCACATTCAATTAAGAAAAATTTCACTGTTCCAACTTCTTTCACTCAAATAATGAACATCTTTTAGCCAATATAAGTCTTAGTCATTGATCACAATCCAGAAAGAACAAACTTTCACTTAAATACATATAACTAGAGGACAGTATTATTTAGTAATTCATTAGCAATAGCAGGCCATGGCTTCAAAAAACAATTACCATCTATCTGTGAAAGTCTTGCATATATCAATTTTCGATAGTCATCTTCCAGTAGGTCAATAAGTTTCCTCCAAAATCTAAACAATTTCATCAACAGTTTAATAGTGAGGGGAGGTCTTCCCAATTCCATTCTCATGCAGATCCTGAGAACACCTACTTAAAATAGAATAACTGTATTGATTCAAATTTGTCTACTAGAAGACTGTCTCAAACCAGAATGGCATAAAACATACTTGGGCCAATCAAAGAATCAAATAATCTAAAATAATTATACGTAGTACGATCCAAAAGTTTGGGGACTTGGCTTAAAATTCCTTACCTTAAAAAGTTTATATTGCTGATGCATAACCAACCTTTAAAGTAATCACCTTGGGCAACAATACACTTTTGCCAGTGCTCATATAACTTCTGGAAGCATTGCTGGAAGCCATTTTTTGAAACCTCCCGTAAGGCCTCCTGCGATGCTGCTCTCATCTCATCTGATGACACAAAACAGCATCCCTGCAAATGCTTTTTCATTGATGGAAACAAATAAAAATCACGTGGGGCTAAGTCCATTGAATAGGCAGGGTGTGGAAGCACATTAATTTGAGTTTTGGCGAGAAACTGTGTGACCATCTGGGACCGATGTGCAGGTGTGTTGTCATGCAGAAGGTACCAGTCTTCACTTTGCCAGATCTGTGGCCATTTACGACGAATGGATTCCCTCAAACGACATAAAATGTAATAATAATTATCATCTGCACATCGGATTTAACCAAATATCACGTACCTTAGAAAAAACCTTTAATCGATGCGAAATAAAAATTTAATAGTACAAACGTTTTCAGACCGCTCCTGGGTCCATCTTCAGGCAAAAATCGTTTGAAGATTTACGAAGTACGAAAAATATTCGTTTAGAACGATTTTTAAAACCGAAAAGATAGAACGGAATCACGTGATCTATATCTCTGAACGTCATATCTTCTATGTCATATTGACAGATATTTAAATATTTTTCATCGTTTTTAAAGATTTTATGAATAACTTTGTTGTTAAGCCCACAAAACATATCACATAATTTTAGATAACCCATTTACTTCCTTTCTTTTAGGATTACGACGCACTTAAACCTCCTGTTGTAATAGGGCCTGCCATGCCGAAGAAAGAGAGATTTCATCTCTGGAATTGATCGGTGATGTAGTGTTGTATGCCTTGCATAATTCTATCTGCTCCAACCATTTGAGATGGTCAATCTTTCTTGTTTCCATATGTAGTGAATTTTTGAAGTTTGAGTCAATACACTATTCGTAGTAAATTCAAATGATATTGAAATTGGAAAATGATTAGAATTGAAAATATCAAGAACTCTAAAATTCAGTAATCTGTCTAATAAATTTGCATTTACTGTTATTAGATCTATAACAGATAGACTGATTGTCAAAAGAAAAGTAAATTTAGCCGAGTAGTCTGAGTCACATCGACCATTTAAAATATACGGTCCATACGACTTAATCAATTATAAAAAAGCTTTTTCCTCTTTGGTTCAATATTAAATCATTAAATCTTTGGGAATGATTGAATATAATATATTTTAATACATATCTGAAATGATGTATGCTCACATGAATGTGATATTAGCTTTTTGAATTACATATAGAAGTAAATTATTTGTGTAAGTTTATTGCAAACTGCAAAAAATCAGTACATTTAGTAGCTGTAGTTCAGTGATAAATTACACACAAAATTAAATTAATTTTGATAAGAAAAATTCAATGTAATGAAATATTCTAAAAGAAAATGCAATTTCTTTGCAAAATTGAATGAATGGTGGAAAAAATTTTATACAAATTATCAATTGAAAGAACAAAATGAAAAGATAAATTAATTAGGAGAAGGTAATAAAATTTTTCTAAAAGAATAATACAGAACAAAATTTGGTACATTATCTTAAAACAAACATATCACTAAATTGTTTTCATAATTTAAAATGACAGTCACTATAAATATATAAGTAACTTATAATAGAGTATAATTTGAAAAGCTAATAAGCAAAATTTATGTAATTTTGATTATTAAAATTTGCTTTTCAAGAATAAAATCTGTGAAGTTGTTTTAATTTTTTAAAAAAATCTGTTCTAATAGGAACAGCAATAGTCACAGAAGATCATGCAGCTCTATGGACAGATGAACAATATATTCAGCAAGCTGAGCAACAATTAGATCATAATTGGACTTTAATGAAAGAAGGTAAGTTTTTAATTTATGTAAAGCTTATGTTAAAAAATCTATTGTAAGTGTTTCTTTTAAATTTTGTTCATTGGTTGGGTTACATTCTTGCAGTCATTTTTTTCAAATGGACTCAATATTTTCAATTGGAAACAAATCTGGTGTATTTCCAGATTAATCCAAGAGCTTTATTTTTTTTTAATATAACTCATTTGGTGTTTTTGCATATATGATATTTAGCTCCATCTTGCTGAAAGATTACATTATCTTGAAAATGATCTTCCATTGTTGGGATAAAGAAATATTCTAAAATATCACAATGCAAATCACCATTTACTGTCTCATTAAAAGAAATTTAAGTTCATTAAAGTCAAGTGAACATACACACCATAACTTTAGTGAGAAATTTAATGAATTGTGATGATTTGAAATGTGAAACCAACAAACCAGATTGTTGGTTTCACATTTCAAGTGCCAAACTTTTCCTCCATTATTTCCTCCTCCATCAATGCAAAACATACTTTCATCATTAAAAATAATTTTTTGCTATTTTTCAGGTGTATATAATTATATTATATATAATGAATTCTATAACATATCTATATAATGATTTTAAATTTTGATAGGTGCCTCAGGTACTCCATCTAAAGGAGAATGGCTAGCAAGGGTGAGCTTAATTCAGTATTTTATTTATTGTGGATTTTTTAAAGAAATCGTTGTTAATTTTTATTATCTTTATTAGGTATTGCCTATAGGCAGTAGGATTGGTGTTGATCCTTATTTGATCCCATTTGGTAAGCCTTTAATCTTTATTATTTAATAATCTATAACTACTTGTATGCAGCATCATTATTTTATTGAATTTAAAAATTTTATTTTTATTTTGTCTAGATATTTATAAAAAGTTTTATACAAAAATTCAAATGCAATATTATGTATTTCAAATTCATTCTGCTTACAGCTTGCAGAAAAAACTAATTTAGTGTTAAAATGCATTTCTATTTAAATTAATTATGCATATAGAAGAAATAATACAAAAACTTACTTTAGAAAATGTTTTCAATACATGTAATTGCTTTGTTTCTAAACTGTTTTTGTTGCTGCAATTTATATACAAATAGTATAATAAATATTTCTATTAGTTTTTTCAGTATATGAATTTTAAAATTTTATGGTAAATTTATATTTTAAATATTAAATTTTTATTACATTTGTATTTAGTGCATTTGAATAATTGCTTTAAATATAAAGCTTTAATTTATATTTGTCAAATAGCATTATTTACCATTGAAAATTAAAAAAGCAAACTGTTCAGTTTAAGAAGCTAAAATTTTTATTCAGTAACATTTTTGGTCATGGCTATTCTCAGGTTGTAACAAATACAAATTATAATATGATGCTAGGTATTATACATTTTCATATCATTACAGTTATAATTTTGATATTAGGTCAAGTGTTTTATAAAGAATTGCCATTCTTATTGATAATCAGAATCAACTCATCCATTTTGAGGTTATTGAGTGTCTACATAGTGACTGTTAAGTGACACTTGATTTCGCGTGTTTTCTGTCATTGCCATACTCTCATCTGTGACATACACTACTTTACAATAATGGACTGGACACCAGCAGATTTGCATAAAATCTGACTGCATGTCAGATTTTATCCAAATCCAGTGCTCACACGTGATCTGATAAGGTTAAATATGATACATTAAGTGGTAACATTGTTAGTTCTGCATGAAATTCTGATATGTCAAAATGAAAGGAATTTAGTGACTTTGAAAGAGGTGTTATAGTTGATTGTCACATTAGTGGCAAGTCTATTTGTGCAATTCTGGTAGAATTATCACAGCCACAGTCAACTGTTGGTGATGTTGTGAAGAAGTGGAAGACTACGGGAGTTGGGACACAAACTGCACACATTGGTCATCCCCGTAAGCTTGAACTGAACAAGACTGAACAAAATTGTCGTGTCCTGAAGCGTGAGGTTCATAAGAACCGCAAGAAACCACTCCAAATCATCAACAGTGAGTTTCAAGCAGCAGGGGTTACAGTGCAACCCATACTTTGCAGAAAGAACTGCACACCCTCAATATCCACAGATATGTTGCTGCACACAAACCAAACATCATCCCATCCAACAAAGTTAGCAGGCTCGCTTGGTGTTTGCAAAGTTGCAACTGGTCTGTTGACCATTGGAAAACTGTTTTATGGAGCGATCAGTCATGCTACATGCTTTTCCAGTCGGGTGAGTGTGTTTGGGTTTGGAGAATGCCAGGCAAATGTCTGTTACCTGAGTGTATATCATTCCAACTGTCAAGTTCGGTGGTGATGATGATGTTTGGGGGGGTTTGTTATATGGCCCAGGACCTTTGTATGTTGTTCCTGGTAAATTGAACGCCTATGCCAACATGAACATTTTGGACAATCAGGTTCTTCCTACGCTCTGGCAATTTTATGGAATGGACAATTGTTATTTCCAGGGACAACAATGCTCCATATCATGTTGCAGTCTCTGTTAAGCAGTAGTATCAAGATACAGATGTCAACTGTCTTCCCTGGCCTGCTCAGAGTCCCAACCTAAACCCAATAGAACATTTGTGGGAAGAGTTAGAGCGACACTTATGGGCCAGAGAACCGCGTCTGAAATGTACAGCTGAGCTGGCAACATTCTTGAAGCAGGAATAGACACAATTGCCCATAGCTGTGTATCAAAACCTTGTTGAAAAGTATGTCTGGAGGGTTGCTAGTGTAATTGCAGCACATGGGGGGGATTCTCCTCCTATTAAAGCATGTATTCTTTACCTTATGCCATCACATCTTGCTGTCTGGTTCATTATTGTAGGGTAGTGTACATTACTCTGTCTCAGGAATAGTCAGTGGTTGCCATCATCTAAGTTTAGAACAAGGATTAGTCCTGCCATATGGTGGAAATCTTATGATTTGGATAACCAATACCAACCAAACACATTAGGTTTTAATTGCTAGAACCTGTTTAGAGGAATGGAAACCAGAAATTGTTGCCACCTAACTTCTTGCCTGCATGAATGAGAATTTACAGATAAAACTAGATAAGAAAGTACTAAAACTACTACAGTCACTAATTAATGGGTTCCTAATTCAAAATAGTCAGTCTATTGGTAATGTTGTTGAAGTTGGGACGTTAGCATTAAGAAGCATTTGATGGCTTAAAAGTGGCCTTGGCTTCAGAACCCATTTTATGTCATTACGATTATGAAGTAATAATGTACTGACAAACATTTACTGGCATGGATACAGTTTTGGTTCAGAATTACATAATAGCTTATACTACTCAAATGTTAACAAATAGCAAGAATTACTCAACAATGGAAAGGAATGTTGGCAGTTGTTTGGGCTATTGAGAAGTTTCTAGCTTACATTTTTGGACATCCCTTTTGATTGGTAATGAATCATCATTTACTGGCTTACAAATCTTTGGGATTCTTCTGGATAATTCATTCCATAGCCCTGCGGCTACAAGAGTATAATATTGCCATAATATATGTATTGACACATATTAACATCTTGACACCTTTTTATACATCCATCCTAATTTACAAGAAGGCTCAGTGCTGGATTAAGCCTCTAGCAGACCCTAGACAAAATTTAAATTGGGACCCCATTTAAGGAAATCTTAAATAATGTCACTTAAAACTTTTATTAATAATAGAGAATACAAACCTGTATAATAAGTTTCCAGTATAACAAAAAAAATATTTAAAAATTATATCAGGAGTTACTGCAGTGACTCTCCACTAGGGTTTCTCATTTCCCAGTGAGGGATTTCGGGAAAAAAGTAAACTGTTTCCCATGAAATCCTGGGATAGAATTAATTATTTTTAAGATATACAAAATATCTTGAAATCAAATGATATGGTTATTTTTCATTTTTTAAAGTAATTTAATACATTCTACAACCTCTAAAATCATATTATTAATGCTGTGTAAGATATATATTAAAAATTACCTTTGAATTACATAGAAATTTTCACAAATTGAAAAACTTTATTAAAGTTTGCTGGAAATGCATACAACAACAAATTGAGTTCAAAATTTTAAAAAAATGAACTTAGATCAAATTTCTAACTTAAAAGGTAATTTTTGTTTTTTAAATAAAACATGATACAAAATACAGTGGTACCTCGGTATATGTCCAATTTGGAATACGTTCTGTTTGGACGAAACGAATTTTGCTCGGTATACGACATAATTCAATTATACGTGCCATCAATGAACAAGTAGCACTATCGGTGTACTACACCAGACTAGACGTTCGCGGTGCAATGGTTTATAACTTTGTTTAATTTCTTCTGATTTTAATTCGTAAGTAAAATTTTATTATTTTTATTAATCACGAATCCCAAAAAGACAAATGAAAAGCAACAGAAAACTAAAAAAATTACTAGAATTACAATGGAACTGATGAAAGAGATTGTTGAGAAATACAAAGGTGGCATGCGTGTTCGAGATTTTAACTGTTGTTTACTGTATTCTGAGAATGACGATATGGACAATTGTGAAAAATAAAGACATTATTAAATCTGCTAACATTACAAAAGGGGTTAAATCAATTTCTAAACAGAGATCGAAGACATTAGATCATGTCAAGAAATTGCTTTTGCTTTGGATAACTGAAAAACAGTGCTGGAGACAGCGTATTGGACGCAATTATTTGCTAGAAAGCTAAAAAGATACATGCTGATCTCATGAAAAATCAAGCAGGAACTAGCCAGGAAAGTGAGGTGTTTAAAGCCAGCCTTTTTTTTTACATGAGAACGGATTAATCATTTTTACATTACTTATGGGAAAGGTTGGTTTGGTATACATCCAATTCAGTATAAGTCCAAACATCAGGAACGGATTAAGGTCATATACCGAGGTTCCACTGTATTATTTTAAATTTTTATAATAAGATTTTAAAAAGCAAAGATGGTCAATACTCCAATCACTCATTCTGATCCTTATTTTAGAAATGATAAGTCCTGTTACCAAGAATGCCCTTTCAGATTTAATTGATGTGAGTGGAATCGTGTTTAATGCATTTAAGATTAGACAGATATGTTTTTTTTTTCACCTGTAGCCTGGAAGATTTCTAGTTAGTTTTTGAGATTGTAGTACTTCTTTTGCTCTCTAGTATTCTTGATTTGTCTACCTTGGCTGCTTTAATAGCAACATCAAGCTTATAGCCCAATAATTCAGCAGTTCGTTTGTCTTTAATAATCAGGTTTTTGAAGAAAAACTTCATACTCGTTTGTATCCTTGCCCAATTTGTACAACCTGGCATTATGTAGTTATTGAAGCTACTGGGCATGGTTAAAAATTAAGACAGCATAACCACAATTATTCCAGATATTACAGGTTCTGACAAGTAAAGAATTTTCAGAGTCCTGTCACAAATAAGATATGTATTGATTGAACAGAAAACATACTCGGCAAATTAATAATCAAAATAATCAACACCTAATTTTAAATAAACTCCCTCGGCAACAGATTAGGTGTTGATTATTTTGATATGTATTATTGACAATTTGTGACATGCCATAACAAGCAAAAATTTAAAAAACTAATAAGTAGCTTTAAAATTAATAAATACAAATGTATTCTGACTGTTTATGAGTTAATTATATTTTCTATTTGCAAAATTTCTTTAACCTTAACACAAAATAAGAAAAAAGTGATAAGAAATTTGCAGGATTTCCCAAGTTAAAAAAACAACTGGTATTCAGTTTGAGAAACCCTACTCCTCACCAAGTATAAAAAGCACAGACTGACTATATATACAGGAATCAGAGTTTCCAATTTACAGGTGCAATTTCTCTGCCCCTCAAACACCTATAGTAATTCTGAATATCTTGTTTGAAAGAAAATTGTTTTCTTAGGTAGTGTGTAAACTTTCAAGATTTTCTAAAACACAATTGTCGAAATATAAGTAATTTAAAAGTGCAAAAGTTGCCAAAAAAACTGTATTTTTTTCTTTTTCTTCATACAGCACTGTAGATGCTTGTAGAGAGAAACTACTGGGTCTAGAAAGCTTAAATTTTAAATTTAAGCCTTTCTCATTAAGGTTCTTGCAAAACTTCCAGGTCAATAGGTCAAAGTTTACAGGGGTTTCCCATAGAGCTAATTCAGTTTTATAACTTAATTTTATGCTTATAAAGATAAAATTGCATGGAAACAAATGAATTTTATTCAAAATGTCATCCAAAATAACAAAAGCTCAAATGTATGTGAATTAAAACTTTCTATAACAATTTTTCTAAACTGTGTATCAAAAGCATTGGGTCAGAGTTGGCTGTAACGAATATTGAAAGCGTTCGGTTGGCAGCACATTTGATTGGCAATGTGTTCAGTTGGCAAGTACCAAGTGTCAACCAATCTTATGTCTTGATATAATAATACAATTATTAAACAAAAACATCTGAGATGTAAAAAAATTAGACCAAGTAAAAATTTATGACAATTTAGATAATGGTCAAAATCTGCTTGACTAGTCAAATTGATATCTTCATCTGTTTGATTTCATCAAAAAATCATTTCTGTTTTCTGGGTCTTTCTTGAGTATTAGTGTCAAATTTGATGTTGGATATTGCCAATTCTTCATTTTCAATTTTGTTATATTTATCTCTTAAATCATTTACCGTATATATTGTGATAATGACCTGTATAAGTTTTCTACGAAGTTTAAATTATTACTAGGATCTTGTATGGATTTGCTGGATGCATTCATTTTTGTCAGTATTTATTATTATTTATTTAAATTTTTTTTTGTACTGAACCCAGACCCCTGTGAATTATGGACCCTAGACATTTGTTTTATTTCTGTATTGGGTAATCCAGCACTGACAAGGCATACAAAAATCTAAAGAAGTAAACAGTATCACTACACTCAGACTGGCAACATTACTAACAAACAGATCCAATGATTAGACAAATTATGTATGATATTGATGCTTACCAACACTTTTATATATTTGATGAAATTTTATACAGACAGGATTATGTTCCTACAAGATTATCTTGCTGTCTCATCACTCTGAGATCTGTATAGAGTGAGATACTGGAGACTTATCATGATGACTCACCTCAGATATGCCTGTACAGTACATATGACTAAATATCTTGAAGTCATCATTGGAGAGGAATGAGTTAGTATATAATGCAATACATCCAAGCTTGTCAGCAGGTCAATGTCAGAAGCATCTTTCATATGTACCTATTGGACAGCTGATGCTAATTACATTTCCAAGTAAAATTTTTGATGCCATCATTATTGATCTTTTGAGGCATTTTCCTACTTCATGAAATGTAAACCACTAGATCATTGTTGCCATAAATTAGCTGAGCCATTATGTCATCACCTAGGTTACAAGTACCAGGTCAGTGGTTGAAATAAATGACTTTCTGAGTGTTACATTAAAACTTGGGGCTCTCCAAAAATTAATTGGTGATCAAGGTGGTTTCTTTCTTGCTGAAATAGTCAAAGACATCCTCCAAATCTTTTGAGATCATTCATCAAAAACTACTGCTTGTAAGGAACCAAGTCTGAGCATTTATTTTTAGTTATTTTTTATTTTGCTTTTTATTCTAGTTTTGTTTGGGGCTTATGTTTTTATTGGGACAAAGGTTTCCTCACCAATCACCTTAGAAACTTAAAAATAGAAGAAAGAGAACCAACTCACTGACGAGAAAAGGCGCCATAAAAAAAAACTCATGCTCCTGAATGGAAAAAAGTAAGTCCGCACCAAGAAAGAGGGGGATACCCCACAAGCATAACTTAGGAACTTGATAATCTTTAAAGAATAAAACATCCTGAAAAAAAAAAAAAAGAAAGAAAGAATGATGTAAAAGGTTAGTGAGTATTGTCAGGAAATAGGCTGCCAGGCAGAAAGGAAAAGTTGACTGTTAGTGATAAGTATGTAAATGAGGGGAGTGATCTCACTCAGAATTGTGACGTCACCTCACAGTATAAAGTCTGAACCTCAAGTGAAAATGACCGAAGTGAGCTTTTGTTAGCAACGAGCGTAGTGAGCTTTGTAGCAGCAAACGACAAGAGGTGTCCGATAGTGATAAAATGGTTCCAAGGCGATTTGAAGTTATTCAATTTGTGGATCAAAGATTAGAAAGTCTTGAGAGTTGAGAGAAAAGGTTACTAGTATGTTCAGGTGACGATTAGGACCTTACTTCATAAGAATTGTTGTACATAAGTTAAGTCTTTGAATTTTTTGTCGAGTTCCAAAGGGGAATAGATTTAAGTTAGCAAATAGATTGATTTGAGTTTTGTTGGGTTGATTCTTTTTGATTTTCATTGAATAAATTGTTGTTTGATTTGTTACTAAATTTTGTACATAGTTATTACTAGAATTATTATTAAATATTGGATTGTTTTTTGACTAACTTTGTCATTATTTCTTTTGGTGCACGCTTAAAGTCCAGGCTTGGCACATTAACGCAAATCTGCATAAAGTACCCGTTACGTAACGGCTATTTCCAGCACAAAGTCGTGTTGCTAATCGTTGTAAAAGGCATAAAAATAACTTAGTACTTTACAACTGGTGCCCAAACAGGGACTGTTAGGTTAATATTAGACTTGGTTTTTACTTTAGCTTTAGAGGAGTAACACCTCATAAGTAAGAAAAAATAAAATAAAAAATAACTAAAAATAATGCTCGGACTTGGTTCCTTACATACTTATCACACTATACAAATGGTTTCATGGAGCAATTTAACAAGATTTTTACAGATTTGTTGGCTCTGTATGTTGATATTAACATTGACACTGGGACAAAATCATACTATGCTGTTCATAACATACTTACAACTTAAATACTTAGCTTACAATAATATATTATAGGTTATTCACCATTCTTTTCTAGTTCATGGCCATCATTCTACAGTGTTTGAAGACCTTATACAACCTACAGCTCTGGGAAATTTTGAGGATTATTCTGCTTTCCTCTGTACAAAGCTGGAGAAAGCTTGAAACTTAGCATATTTTGATGGCACAGTGTTGTGACAAAGAACAATATGATGCTCACCATCATAAGAATAATTACTGATCAAAACAAATTAGTGTAGTGTAGATCTACATCTCTATTCATAAGTCAGGACACTTGAGAAAGTGTTATATCAGTATTTTGGCCCATTTGAGTTCTTTGCCAGTGTTTTAATGTTACTATCTAAGAATGAGAAGCTATCTCATCCAAATACGAACCATGATTGCAACAAGAAATTGTGCATGTCATTTACATGAAGCCTTATATTCCTTCTCACAACTGGACTTTGATGTTTTCGGTGATGACATCATAAGGAATGGGATATGCCATCATAAACTTGTAGAATTTTTAAATGACCCAGAATGCACACATTGTTTGGGAACAACTCTGACCAACATTTAATTTTTATTTTAAAATTTGTGATCTGATTTGTTTAATTTTTGAGTTCATCTTTGTTAAATTAAACTGTGTATAAATAAACAATCATGTTTGCTTGTATTCTTTTCATTATTTGTAACAATATTTGATATTAAAGTTTTCATACAAACTTAATTTATATTAAACAGATTCTTGGAATCCTCTTTCTAATCAGTTGGAGTTAGCAGGGCATCATCTAGTAAGTGTGAATCAGAATTTAATTGATTTTATTTGGGATGATAGGCCACCACCACCCTCAACTAGTATAGAACCTTTACCACTATCATATACTGGTAATTTTCTTTTCAATTCTTAATAAATTATTAATAAATTTATTTACTTGTTTAATTTTATTTCTTAGGAAAATCTTTAGGAGAGAAAATAACTGAAATACGTCAAGAAATGACAAATAAAGAAGCTGTTGCTTTATTAATAACTGCTTTGGATGAAATAGCATGTAATTTTTCTTTTATTTTTATTAACTAACTAAATTATGTCTTAGTATTTTAATATATAATAAAATGTTGAATAGGGCTTTTCAATTTAAGAGGATGTGATGTTGACTACAATCCTGTGTTTTTTGCATATTCCATACTTACTTTGGAAACTGTTTAGTAAGTTTATACTTTAGAAATTATAATAAGTTGCATCTGATTTATATAAGGGTGACTCTGAAAGCTTTGCAATACAAGAAAACCATCCATGATGAATTAGTGGTTTTTTTTTAATAGTAAGTATTTCATATGACACATTATGTATAAATAAATTTCATCACTTTCCCTTACTCTAAGTGAAACAGGTCCTCTTTCTAGTAGTAGTAATGGTACTTTCTAGAGAAGTAAATTATGGTATGAAGTGATACCATGATTTACTATGATTTTTATGTTGACCTGAATGACAAAGACTGTTATGAACAATTGAAATTGGCTTTTGGCAATGATGTCCTATCATTTGCTACTGTGTTCAGGTGGTACAAATAATTTCAGATGGGTTGTACTTCCCTTCCACAGTGAACCATGTTAAGGGTAACCACAAACAGCAGTGACTCCTGAAAATGTAACTGCTGCCCAACATATGACCAAAAGTGTACCGTACTGTGAAATGATATAGGAGAGAGTATAGATAGGAGCCTCTGCAGTGCAGATATTCTTTCATACAGAGTTACAATTTAAAAAAAGTAGTGTCTCGATGGATACCTCATCAGTTGACAGATTTCCAAAAATCAGAGCATATCAGGATCTCTAAGAAAATTCTGGAGATGTTGAACCAAAGTGGACATCAGATCATTTTCAAGATTATCACAGGTGATGAGACATACATACCTTTTTATGACTGTCCCACATGTCAAGAAAGCCATGTATGTATCCATAAAGATGATTCAATTCCAATAACTGTGAAAAGGGCAGAGAAATAAAAAAAAAGTGTCATGTTTGCTGTTTTTTCCATAGTACTTGTCTGACGAAAGTAATTAACCTTAAGGAACAAAAGACAGTAATAGCTAATTGATCTACTACAGTTTGTCTTCATAGAATTCTGTAGTCACTGAAAATTCAAGGTCTAATTTTGCATCATGCTGATGCTTCATCACACAGCCAAGCAGGCTGTTGATTTCTTTGAACCTAATATCATCAGAATCGTCAAATATTCACCAGATTTGGTAATGTGTGGCTTCTGGATATTTTTTAATCTCATAAGACATTTGACATTTAACACAGAGGATGAAATTGAGCTTCCTTGACAGAGCATTTTTACATTCCAAAAATGAGCATCATCATGCTTTTAATCTTTGAAAGAAATGACTATATAAGTGCATTTTGGTCAGAGGAGCATACTTTGAACATAAATAAAAATTATTTTGTTTCAGGCCTTACAGTATTCCTGTATTTCAAAACTTTCAGAATGACTCCTGTAATATATATTAAATAATAAAAATAAGTTAAATGATAAATTTAATTAAAAATGAGGCACTTTTTTGTTCAGTTTATTTATAGATGAAAACAAGTTAACATCATCAGTAAGACGCCATCTTCAAAATGATGAATCTGATTATTCTGTTAAAGTGGAAATCCGGCCATATAAACTAGTGAAAGACTGTCTGGGATGGCTTGTAAATCAATTAAATGGAAAAATTTGGGTATTTATAATAGATTTTAATGAACTTCTATAATACCAGATCCTTTATACGTAATAAAAGTTTGGTGATTGATATTCTCTATCTCTTCATATTTTTTCAAACAGTGATAAACTGTAAGATTTCTAGGTATATTTTGGTTAAGTTTTTAATTAATTAAACCTTTTCACAAGAGGTATTATTTATTAATCTTCAAATAAGTTGGTAGTTTAACATAATGCAGTGGACTCTTCCATGTCCAAACTAATGTGGGTGGGAGTGATCCAGATATTAGAAAAATCCTGGTCAGAGAGAGTTAAAAATTTTTAAATAAGACTAACACATACATCTGCTGAGTATAAAAAATGTTTATTTTGACTTTGATGCTTAGTTTTGATAATTATAATTAATATTGTCTTAAAAGTTTTTTCTTCTTCTTGATTTGCTTACAAGCTGCTATATGCCTCATCATCAAGTCAGAAATGGTTGATGTATTGTTATCTTCTAAGAACTTCAAGGCAACCTTAATTTTAAAAAATTTAAAATGTACATACTACATGGAAAAGTGAGATTAGGAGTAATGTATAAGATTTTTGAAAATTTTTGGTTGCCTTTGATCAGTTTGGATATAGGAATGTCTACTGTAATAGATTTTGTAACGATAAAGAAACTGTTGTAACAAACAGTAATAAAAAAATTAAANTATAGTTTTTTTAGATGTAAACGAAGCGCAAAAGTATTATCGTGCTCTGAACTCCCGCATATTGCACCATTGCATTATGAATCATGCAACGATTATACCAGGAATTATGCACAGTAACTAACATCTAAAACATATTTTTCAAATAATTATACTTATTTTTTTTTTACAATTAGATTACCAAGTCTTAAACATTTAATTTCTCGAATATATTTTGTTTGCAATTAATACATTCAAAAGTTATGCTCTAGTCAATGTAGTTCCCAGGGTAATAATAATTATACTTATTTTTTTTTTACAATTAGATTACCAAGTCTTAAACATTTAATTTCTCGAATATATTTTGTTTGCAATTAATACATTCAAAACATGGTTAATGTTAATTTTATTCAGCATTATTATTTTATTAACTTTTGAATGTTGATCATATATAATTAAGTCACTATTTACAAATAAGACTAACAGTTATAAATAAATGAAAATCAATTAGTGTTTGAACTAAGAGAGAGAATAGTTCAAATTAGTTTTATAACCTTTTTATTTTCAAACTTGTATAAGAAAAATTCTCTCTCTCTTTTTAATTGTTATAATTTGTAAACAAACATGAAATATTTATGAATGATTGTGTTAATTTCAGTAGATTCTCATTAATAACCTCTGTAAAACTATCTGTGAGGGTAGATGTTAACTGACAATTGTCCTTAACAAGTATTATACAACTTCAATCAAAAAAAAGGTTACACTGCATAAATATGATAATATTTCACTGATATGTCATGTATGATTGTAATTTCTTTTTTCAGATAATTTTATTTATTAAAAGAATCACAAAAAAATATCAAAATAATTATTAAACACAAGAAAAACAGGCATGAAAAAATTTTTTAAATCTTACAAATAAAATTGTCATCTGTTTTAAGTATGATTTTGTGAAGGTTTTCAATTAATTTAGCAACATAAATAAATATGTATAAGAATTTTTAGGTTGTCAACTGAAAAAGCATGACATCAGAATGCTTTTATTAGCTCTTGGTTTCTGCTATATGGAACTGTAATTTATATACTTGAGTATTTGTCTTTTTGTTTTTCATTTGTAATCTATTTCTGGGATATCTTTTGTCACATTCAACAATAGTCAGCAAGCATAGATGCATTTGACTTGCCTTGATAACTTCTTTCCATCACTGAAATATCTTGATGGAAGCTCTCTCCTTGTTCTTTACTTACTGGTTAACAAATTGCTTGGGAAGAAGTAAAGATGGGAATTAAGAAAGTATATTTTAAGTGACATATTTCAACTTAATTCTCAGTATGTTGTCAGAAGTTCATTAACAGTTACATTGTAGTTTTCAGCTCTTCGATTACCCAAGAAGTCATTAACAACAGATTTAAAAGCTTTCCAAGCTACTTTCTCATCTCTTGAATAACTCTATTAAAGGTTTTATCCTTAAACAGTTCTTGAATCTGCAGGTCAACAAAGATTCTCTTTAATTTTAGCATCACTTGTTTGGGGATTTTCAATTACTTGAAAGCTTCTCCTTGATTCATTGTCTCACAAAATTCTTCATAAGCCTGAGTTTAATATATAGAGGTGAGCAATATGATTTTATCACAGGCAACTAAGAGAGTATACTAGATATTCTTGTTTTCAGGCTCCATCACTTTCTGACCATCTTTTTTCTTATGTAGTGTAAAGATCCATTCCAGCTGAGAAAACAGTAATAATTTTCAAATCTCCACACATCTCATTAATGGTCTTCACATTTAATTTTTAAAAAATGGCTTTTACATTTTCTTAGCTCTCCTTCCTAAATACAGTGTTACCTACAGGAAGAGATGTCAATGAAGTTCCATTGTGAAGCAAAACTGCCTACAAACTTAGATGAGTCTTTGAAAAGTCTGTAAAGTACTATTTTATTTTTCCGACTTTTCCAACGATTATCGACACTACTGTGTGCCGGAAATAGCCGTTCCCTAACGGGTACTTTACGCGGATTCGCGTTAGTGTGCCAGGCCTGGACTTTAAGCGTGCACCGAATTAAATAATGACAAAGTTTGTCAATAACAAAATCAAATATTTAATTAAACTTCTATTAATAAACTATATACAGTATTTAGTAAAAATCAAACAATAATTTATTCAATGAAATTCAACAAGAATCAATCCGACAA